AAGGTTGAGAAATAAAGAAGTTGCTTCAGTCAAGGTTTTGTGGAGGAGTCAATTCGTAGAGGGAGCTACTTGGGAAGCAGAAGCAGCCATGAAGTCCAAGTATCCTCACCTCTTTCCTTCCAATTCCATTCCAACTTGAGGTAATAGTTCCTCTCCAGTCTTTTAGTCATTCATGCATAAAATTAATCTTAGTACCTTGTTCCTTCAATTATACTTGCATTTTCAGCGTATTTGCATGTTCTTGGAACATAGTTCAATCAAATTTTGGTTTCCAGTACTTAGTGGTAAGGTTTGCAGCTCTTTCCCTCCATTGAAGTTAGTTTAGTCTTCATTCGAGGACGAATGTTCCCAAGGGGGAGATAATGTAACACCCCGTATTCTAGAACTACCAAAATGCATATTTTCAGAAGTTGCAGGTGCCACTGACAAGCACCACCCACGGACCGTAAGGTGACCCACGGTCCGTCCTAGTGGTCCGTGGTTCACCACTTGTAACCCCTTTCTAGAAAAGCCCAGAAAAATGTCTAAGGGTCGACCCACGGCTGGACCCACGGACCGTAAGTTGGTTCATGGATCGAGACCCCAGACTTCTAGTCTCTAAAGCCAGTCGACGGTTGACAGGACAGATTGTGGGTCCGTCGATGACGGACCGTCGATCAGTCAGTCGGTTGTCCCCGATATCTTTTAAGTCATGGGTCGTTTGGTCTTTTCCCTATGTGTTGGACCCCTAACTACGTAGTTTTGGTCAGTTTTAGCCTAGTAACTTAATTAGACTTTACCCAAGTCAACTCATTCTCCAAAAAATTCATCAAGTTGAACGAAAAGAAGGAGAAAAAGTCGACCAAGACCTAGTCCAAGAACGTAGCAAGTTTTCATCAGTTTCATCCCCGAAATCGAAAGATTTCTCCATGAAATTCATCACAGGTATGTGGGATTTCACTAGTGGGTTCCTTTCACCCATTAGGTCCCTAGATTTCAGTCAGAATCTTGATTCCCTTGATATTATCTAGATCTATGAGGGTCTTGAATGCTTGTTGGGTTTAGCTGTTAGAATGATCCAAATCAGATTATCTTGTTGTTGCTTAAGTTCTTGCATGAAATTCAGAACCCTAGTTGTGTAGATTCGTTTAGTTCATGAATTACACATGTTAGGTCAGTTTATTCAGTTATACATGCTCCAATTACAAATGTTTCATTATCAGTACATTAATGTTGCATTTTCAGTTAGCATGTCAGTAATTTTGAGCTATCCAGTATTACAAAAATTCAGTCATAATGTGCTATTTACATAATCAGTTAGGAGTAGACTTAATACCAAGTTGGACTAGGGTCAGTCACCCTCACAGTCCAGAACTACGTGCCCCCGTAGGTTTATAAGTCCACTCTGGTATTACATTTTAGTAATCACGCCAGTTATGCCTCTATACCTATGGCAGGGTATATTGGGTCCTCTCGATGGGGCGTATACATCGAACTCCACATTTAGCTCATGTGGTTTTATGTCGGTTATTAGTAGCTCCCACAGTCAGGTTCTAGTGTAGTGACCAGGTTATCAGATACAGTTCAGTATTTAGTTTCAGCATGTATAAACTTGGTCATTGCATTCATGTTCAGTGTTTTCAGTATAGTATCATGCTCGTCTTATATCATTGCTCAGTTATATGCTTTGTTCAGTTATGTATATTGTTCAGCTTTATTCTATCATGCATGCTCAATACCTTTCAAGTACCGACACATACTCTGCTACATCTTCTCGTGATGTAGGTTCAGGCCTTCAAGATCCAAATCACACATAGATCGGTCCCCGATCTTCAGTTCAGCAGCATCAGTGGTGATTCCTCATTCTTTGAGGACGATTTACATGATTATCTTTCTACTTTCAGTCTTTAGTTTCAGTTTTGCTAGATTTAGCTGGGGAATGTCCCAGCATCTCTAGTCAGATAGAGACTTTATTTTAGACATAGTTATATTCAGTTTTAGCTTGGAATTTGATATTTCATTTGTCATTAAACTCTCATATTATACATTCAGATTTAGAATGGGTATTACCCATCAGTTTTCTCTTATGTCATGTTTTAAGCTTCCGCACATAATTATCTTATTTCAGTTATCATAGTATGCTTATGTTATGCCAGCATGGTTAGCTTGGGGTCACTCGTAATCCTAGGTCCCGTGTACGCGTCCTGGGGGTAGCTTCGGGGCGTGACAATGGTTACATGTCATACGAAAGTGATTACGGGGTTATGAGAACAAGAGTACACAAACGGGCTAAGATTTGCAACATGACAACGATAACATATATGTGTTATAAATCCATGGCATGACATGCTATGGATTCTACTCCCGAGCTATAATCAGGAGGTATGAGGCCTATTGCCTATATTTATACGTATGAGACACCTATGGTCACAAGTTCGCGAATATGATATCGGTTAATTACCGGGAAACACCACCATTGCTAGTATTTGGTTGGGTATGTCATGCATTTGCATATATATATATATATGTATGTATGTATCTATTCACGAGATACGATTATACGAGCATACCATGCATATTTAAATTGTAGGAGGCCAAATGTCAGCCATGGAGATTATTTGAGTTTCAGTTTCAGTGGTATCTCTATTACTCTTTTACAATAGCTACTTATGATATTACTTTCCGCTTTACATACCAGTATATTTTTATTTGTACTGATGTCCCATTGCCTGGGGACGCTGCTTTTTGTTTCTTGCAAGTAGGTTTAGGCAAGGATTCTGATCGACCCACCCGCTAAGATTCAGGTTCAACTGTGAGTTGGTAAGTTCCATCTTATCCTGGGACTATCAGAGGATGTTTACTTTTGTTGTACATTTTGGGTATAGTTGGGGCCTTGTTTTGATAGTGCTTATGTCACTCGTAGAGGCTATTATGGACACAGTATTCTGGGTTTTCTTTTGTAAGTTTCAATCTCCAGCCTATAGACTTGACATGTACATATATATGTCTGTGTATGTAGGTATGTCTTCAGTTGCAGCCTCATCGGCTAGCTAATGCATCTTTATTTTTTTTTGGCTTGTGTACCATTGGTTGTATGGGTTATTGTCATACATGTCATGACCTTCATGGTCTAGGCTTCACATTTCAGATGTTGTGCTGCCTGATCTTTTTGCCTCACAATTTGGTTAGCTAGTATGTTTCAGTGGCTAACATGATCAACTAGGTTATCGAGTGCCAGTTACGCCTCCCTATTTTGGGGCGTGACACTCACTCAGTCTGAGAAATATTATTTCGAAGGAATGAAAGATATCTTGAAAGCTCATAGACCAGATGGAAATAAAAAGCAACACATGAGGGATTCACAGTGTATAATTAATCATGTTTTCATGGGCAGATAAACTAGCAAACATTACTTTGGATCAACAGATCCCAATAAATGTGAGCAACTTTTCAGAGCTACCTAAAGAATTTGATAAACATAGATAAAGCTCAGATTTCAACGGTGAGAATCAGGACAAGGAAGATAAAAACAATATTCATTAATGCAGAGGGGACTAACGGATATTGCTGTTTTTTGATTGTTTTTATTTGGTTTGTTGGTCACACTTGTGGCCTATTTTGTACATAATTAATTTGAACCAAAAGAAAATTGTTTTTTTTCTTCGTATAAACAAGTGTATAATGTATGTTCAAACATAATACTAGTTATTTTAACATTATATAATAGGAAACAACAGGTGCAAACAAAGTGTTAAAGCAAATCATGGTATCACCTAAGCCTTCCATCTAAACCCTTGCGTTAATCTGCCAATTTGGTCGACGGGAAGCAAAACATTACCACACTGACCGTTTGTGATCTTCGGCTGACATTATCGCCGGAAATTCTGAAGAAACAAGTTCATTTTCAACAGAAACACCGGAGGCGGTGGCGAAAGAGGTGGTGAACATTTTTGAAGAACAAAAAAATGGTGGAAATTCCTTCCATAGATTCATCAGCCACCACCAACATTGCACCCCTTAAACGCTATGCCCCTCCCAGTCAGCGGTATTTATGATGATGTTTCCATGATTGTGTATATTGCTAAAATTGGACATGTTTTATTAAATTGATTTTTGTTTTTCTGATGTCCTTTTCTATTGCAGGAATCGTTCACTTGGTAGGCGAAAATCTGGAGGAGGTAACTAGTTTTGACACACCTACTACAACCCAAAATTTCTTTTTATAAGTTTGCTCATTTAATTTTGGTCTGTTGGAGTGCTTATAATTCACTGGTTCTAAACTACTTTAGCATATGTTGGTATAAGTGCAAACTATCCAATTGATCTTTTGAGCTGGTGCCTTAGTTGACTTCAGCATGTCCCACTCCAAAATGTTGTTCTTTTTGGATTATTGACCATCATCATTGCATGCTGCTTTATTTTCTCTTTCTTTCTCATAGACGGTATCTAGGTGATTTTCCTAAAGAGAGCAGCTTTTCATTTTCATTTTTTAATGCAAGTTCTGCCAGTAATTTATTTCACATAGCATATGTTAAGTTTTACTAGGATAACACTTGGTAATAATGTGCCACAATCCGTGTTATCAGAGGAGCACTTAAGCCCTGAAGTGAGGCTCAAAACGTGTTAGCGCTTCGCCTTGCTTAATGTGTGGTTCAATGTCATTAACAAGGTACTAAGACATACTTTTCCTTGCCAATGAACCTCTGATGAAGAGACGACACTAAGCAATTAATATTTCACTTTATAGTAATTATTTTTCAATTTCATTGTTACTATATTTGTCATTCATGCTTATAAATTATAAGTCTTATACTAAACATATATATTTGTATTTTTTCTCCCTTTGCGTCGTTTTTCATTGAAGCCCATGCTTTAGTTGAGCTTAAAGCCCGGATGGACCTTGGAGTTTTTTTTGCGCTTTTTGCTTTTGACTACACTAGCTAGGATGGCAGGATTGAATATCATGTCAGATGTTAACAACCAACCTAGATAGTATTTAAACCAACTACTAATATTAAACCTTTTTCTTTCGGGCTATAAATATGAAGATGTCAGATAAGAATGAACTAAGCACTGTAGGATAACCACGATGTATGGAGAGGGGGGGGGGATGTTCGTTGTTAAGTCCTATTGTGAAAATTTTTTATTAGAGAAAAGATTGCCTTTTCAAACTAAATATGTATTGTTCACTTGATTGGGGTGATCTTGACGACGGAGAATCCGGGGAAGAGGAAGGTTACCTATGTCAGTTGGTGCTTTGTGTGCATGGCTTCGGGTGAAGATGTCAATCACCTCCTGATTCATTGTTTATTCTATCAGCATCGAAATTATTGTCGGAAGTCCTTTGTGGTTTGACATATTTTGGGTGATGCCAGCCTTGATGAAAGAGGTAATATTGAATTGAAGTTATGGTAGAAGGAGAAGACACAACGTGCAGAAGCTTGGGCCACTAGCACTTATATGGGTCGTTTGGAGGGAAAGAAATAAGAGAGCCTTTGAGAATGTAGAGATGAATTTTGTTTCAGTTGAGGAGTTGGAATTTTTTCTTTTTTTGAGAAAGTAACATTTGTATTAGAAAACTCAGCACAAAGGTTGTGATGGTAACCATGTACAGCTTCCAAAACTAGGAAAAGCTGGCACTTCTCACATGGAGTCCATCATGTGTTGTATAAATTCTACCTCATTTACATATTTCTCCTTGCACCATAACATGAACAACAAAAAAACAGTTCATCCTTATCTTCTGAATGGAGCTGTTGCTGCCTTCAAAACATCTGGCCTTACTTTCCTTCGCTGTCCACCAAATACAAGGTGGAATGAAATTCCATCACTTCTTTTGCCTGACATTATCTCCCTAATTGTGCCAATATCTCAGTAAGTCAGCTCTAGTTGTTGGCACTGTCTATTTGAGACCAACTATACTCCGACTCTGCCACAATTGAACAGTTACACCACAATGTAGAACAGACGGTTGTTAGACTCTGATGCTGCACGGCATAACCTTGATTGGAATCCTCCTTCCTCTCTTCTTTAAATTTTCCTGAGTTAAACAGGCCTGTCTGGCTGACAACTTAAAAGGGAGCTCTGATCTTCTAACTCTGCTTCTAAGGCGTCATCTTGATTATTTCTTGAAGCTAATGAATAGGCTGATTTCACTGAAGATCTCTTGTTGCTAGTGCCCTTCCATAATAAGGAGTCATCAGCATCTGTAGTTCCCTGAAAAAGTTCCAGTAATTTAGCTGCCCGACCAATTTCCCAGTCATTTAGCATTCTTCGTAAGTTGAGATCCATCCTTGTGAGCCCCACATCTCCTCAATTGTGGCTCCGGGATTTGAGGTCTCCCTTATTTCTTTTGGTGCACCAATAAGGTTCCTTTATGTATAGGAAGATTGAATGCCGTTAGTAGAAAATCATCTTTTTTTCGGTTTTGTATACGGGCATGTGTTTTGCCCAAACATTACTATCGTTTTTCACTTTATCCCAAAAAAAGAAGAAGAATGAGCTAAGTTCCAAACTGTGGCAAAACAACTGGGATAGGCAGATGATGCCCTAAAAGTCTAAGCTGAACCACCCACATAGAATGTAAGTTCAAAAAGAATGTAATTTCTGTCATCTGGTACTTCTATTTTGTTCCACTGCCTAGCATATTATGGTACTTCTATTTTGTTCCACTGCCAAGCATATTATGGATAAATAGCTGACAGGTCTTTTGAATTATAAACCTATTGGTAGACATTTTTTCTCAGATAGTCTATTTTTGCAGATCGAATTGAACAAGTCAATATCAATAGTAATGATGGAGAGAAGAATCAAATTAGTGCCTCCAGGTCAAAATCTTCTGATGATGCTGGTGGCAGATATCAAGCAAATGAGAATCATTGGACAGGGTTAATACCGCTACAAGGATGTTCTGGCAATGATGCTTTTCAGCTTCTAAATAGCCATATGTTTCTTAGATTAATTCTGAGCTGAATTTGTTACTTCGAATAACAGTTTGTCAGTAACTTACATATTCTCTGTTAACCATTTCCTATGCTGTAATGTATTGTGGTCATTTGGTTTCAGTCTTTCCTCTAGTTCAGTTGGTGTGGTGTGATGATATTTAGCCATGTATTTTCCTTCATTTTCTTTATTATTTATGTGGGATCTGAGTTCTTTACTTGTATATAGATACTGAATTCTTCACATCTGTCCGTGAGGAAAATGAGATGAATGGTGATATGCATTTAGATGGCATAATTTTTCCCATCATAAATGAGCAACTACTGTTGTTTTTCTGATTAAATTCTTTAATCCAGCCACTTTTCCATATCAATCCTTGTTGACCTAATTGGGAAGAATGCCTGTCAAATTCAGTTAGCCAGTTGTAGGATAGGTCTCAGTTAAGATGAGTGAGCAAGCCTCACATACCATCTCTTTCGGTTGTTTTGGTTCTTTGTCAGCCAGTTTCCACTCTTGGATGAATAATGGTGGTAGCAGTTCCTCTTATGAACAATTAGTTGCGAGCGATAATGTTAAGAAAATGTTGCATGTTTTTGTAGGTTGGATGGCTGCTTTGAATGCTTACAATAATTTACCATATGATTCTTCTGGTGAGTGAAACGGTAGCCTGCTGCTCTTTAATATTTCAATGGGTCTAATTTCTTCTTAGATGAAGCAGAATGGATATAAAGGATTCATATAGCTATCCTCATCAACTAATTTGGAATTGAAGTGTAGTTTTGTTTGTTGTTGATTTTTTCCTAGATGACCGTATCAACTCTGTCTTGAGAGTATGTGACCAGAAAATTTATTCAGGACTATGTTCTGAGTCATCTCTTAGCAATTCATCTAATCTTAAGATTGCATATTTGTAAAAATCTAGCTACAGTGCACAGAGGCTCCACTCAGGGAAATAGGGCTATGGCCGTGCTAGTTTATATACTGAAAAAGCTTCTGCTTGATGGGATACTTTGTCGATGCATAAAATAAATTAACTCTACTAATAGCTGGAGATTTAAATCAACTCTACTAATAGTTAAGGTGACATTGCATAGTCCCACAATTTTATGTCTTTACGTGTCCCTTGAAATACATGGTAAAAAGCTTTAAACTCACAGTTACTCTGATTGGATATTGGTGGCAAAAGTAGCACATCATCACCTGCATTTTTCATCACCTAAAATTGTTTTCATATTGTAGAGGTTCATGAGATAGGAGTTGGACGTAGTGTGTTGTTTGATATACATTTTCTTGTGCAAAAATTTACCCTGAAATAAGCATATTCAAATGACAACAGTACACATCATTTTAAATTTAAAAGAATTTGTACTGGACAGAATATGACAAGTTACAAATGAAGAATGAATTAAGACTTACCTTTTCTTTTTGTGTTGTGGTGAGGTTTTTTTTTTTTTTTTTTTATTACTTTTGAAAAATTGTGGGTAGGGGAAATGGGGGGAGGGGGTTGGAGTGGGATCATAATGGTTTTTGCTTAACGTTTATTCTTGCCACAAAAGAGGGGGGAGGAAGGAGAGAATGGACAGTTTGTCATTTGATGTGTTAGTATTTGTTGTCTGGCCCCTGGGAGATTCTAAAATATATTTTGGCATGTTCCACAAGGATGTATCATACTCTACTTCTTTCATGGCTTCCTTTACGACATCATGCAATGTTTCAGCACTGTCTTGTGAGAGTTCCAACCTGTTGTGTTTCACAATTGCCAAGTGCCAACAGTACTTCTGTCATAATACAGTAGTTCTCAGAGTTAAAACATGGAGAGAGTGTTGAATTTTTTTCAATTTATTTCTGTTGATTTTTAAATTTTATATTGTTTCTACGGCTTACTTGTGGAGGACTGAAGGAGTAGACCAGCAAGAATTATCGGAGACCTTGTGAAAGCATGAGGATCACTCACTTCTTGCTATGAAATTTGATGGTTTGTCCATCCCTCACACATGTGATCACAACTCATTCATTTGTTCTTTTGTTTTTGCAGAAAGGCCAGTTATGTATACAAAAAGATCACCGTGGGGGTAATCTATGCTTCCGCACCAGGTAAGAGGCAGTTTTGCTGTGTCCCAGCTCCTGTCCCCAACCTTCTGTTTCTCTCTCCATGACCACTGGATATTCAGTTTTCACTGTCAGTTGATGTTACAAGCTGGAGGTGTATCTTCCCCTGGGTTGCAGGACTTTTCAAGTGAGCTTCGACTTGCAATACAGGGTACAAGTGTCAGTTCGATGCCTAATTATTAGCTTCAAGTGCCAAAACTTCTCCAAACTTAGGCTGTTCCGATGCGTTTGCATTGTAATGGTAAGACACTTGTTGTGAGTTATTATCAACCCTGATAGACTGCTTGTTTAAGAAGGCAGCATCTGCTAGCACCATGAACATTTAAAAGTCGACACTCTTCCTTGTGTGTGTGCCTGTTGCATTCTATTTGCAATGTACTTGTAATGCTGTATGTTTAATGAGATTCTACAATTTTATAAATCTAAGTCTTGAAATATTTTGTTGGCATTGAGGAAACGTGAAATTTCATTCTTTTGGTAAGTGTACATTTGTTATATTAAATTGCACAGTGGAAGAGGAAGAGCAAGGGTTGACTACATATAAATGGAAATACATATGGACCTTTTTACTGAAAAATGAAAGAAGAAAAGGGAGAAGGTAAGAGACAATATACACACTTATTCTTTCCAGACAGGAATAATTCCTTGGGCAGCTAAGCGCTTCTCAACCCAGAACACAATGTGCTTTGCTGTTATCTTTTTCTCATCAACGAGAAAAGGTTCCACAGTGCTCGCGCCAGAACCATAGGAGGACAAAGAGAAACCTTTAGGACCTGCCCATCAAAACAATAACTTTTGTTAGTTTCCTGATCATTCAAGCAAACTGAACTCTCACAACAAAATTAAAACAGGTCAGGACATACCTGTGAGTCCATCCGGAAAGAATGCCCAAAATGAATATGGATTGCCCTTCTTTAGAAATGAGCCCTCCAGCTGCATTTATGAAAACAACAAAAAAGCCAATGCACTATGAAAGTTGTGGTACAATCAAAAGTAGTGGGATCAAGACAAGTTAATATGATACTCACCTTGTTGTCATTAAATGATAGCTCAAGCTCAAGGATGTCGTTTTGAGATTCAAGAATTGCTTTCAGTGAAGGAATAACATCCTCCTCCATCATCTGAGGTAGAGGCTTGTCTGGAGCCTTTGCCTTTGGCTTTGGTTTTTCTTCAGCAGTCTGAGACTCTTTCTTCTCCTCAGCAACTAGTTGTATTGTCAATTATCAATTGTATGTCTAACAGGACGCCATGAAAAGCACCAATTTCACAAAAAAGAAGAAGTGAAAAATTACCAGTTACAGATGAAGATTCTTGGGCTGCAAAGCAGACAAGATTTCTGACTATTATTTTACATTTGCACGTTTTGAGGTGTCTTAGTTCAAGTGAATCAGCAGGCAATATGGGTTTAGCTTTACGGCAAAAAGATGATGAAGGGAAGCTAGAAAGTGAAATAGAACCTCCTGTTGTTGCCATGTATGTCCCTTTGGAAATTGTTATTGTCTTTTATCTTCTTACAGCATTGTAGAGTTGAGTTGCTTACTACTTGTTGGTGAAGCAGTGGCAACATCAGAAATACTGCCTGCTTTCTCATCCACACACTGTTAGGAGACTGGATGCCACTGAATATTGGTCCCTCATCTAGTTGAAGCACATTTCCTTAGCCCATTAAACTTGTCAAGCGGCCCGTTATAAATTTTTGACCTTGCTCTTATTTCGTACAAGTAAAACTGTTTTGGGTAAAAGATGGGTTGACCTGACCCATTCTATTTTAAAATTCAATATCCGGCTAAAATTCTAGTAATTTGATAACTTATAATCCATATTAGCATTACATTTGAAGCCAAAGAACAATCACAACGACAAAACTAATATGCAGAGAATAAAGTATCGCATAATTGAACCAAAAAAAAAAAAGTATCGCATAAACTTCAAGGTTAGTCAGTTTCTTTTTTTTTTTTCTTTCTTTTTCCGATCAAGGTTAGTCAGTTACTTCCAAAGAAGAGTCTAAAATTCCAGGAGCTATAGAAATCACTTCCTAGTCTTAGAATAGATAAACTTACAAATTATCATACATTGACACAATACTTTCTAATTAGTAATTCAACGACCAAATAAAGCTTAGTAGCACACTATAGGAATGGAAAACCTACAAAAACACTCTCAATGGATTATAAATGGTACAAAAATATCACCCTTTCATCTACTTGATCAAAGTTATCCTTTCTTTTACCTATTGAATTAAAAAATAATTCAAATTTACCCTCATTCTACCTGTTACATAAAAAATATCCGTAACATTTTAAAAATATTTCCTAATTCTAATTACATATTTTATTACTGAATTTTGACAATTATTTAGTTTTCTTTCGATTTGTAAAAAAAATTGGAAAGTTTTTGGTTGTTTATCTAAATTTCTCGTCTCACCTAATAGAAGTACTTGCTTTATCTATAATCTATATCTATAATCTATAATCTATAATACCTTAAAAGCATGAACTCCCAAATTTGATGAGAGGGAGTTGCTCGGATGGTAAGCACCCTCACTTCCAACCCGAAGGTTGCGAGTTCGAGTCACCAAGGGAGCAAAAAGGGGTGGGAGCTCCTAGGGAGGGTTAAAAAAAAAAAAAAAAAAGGAACTCCCAAACTTGAATGTTGAATTACTATAATACCCCCAATTAAAAACACTCAATTTATTTTATTTAATAATTTTATTATATTTAAAGTAGATACCTTTTCAAATTAAAGGATTGTGACATTTTCATTGAGTTGTAACTTTTTCAAAGGGTTGTGACTTTTTTCACGGGTTGTGACTTTTTCAATGAGTTGTGACTTTTCCGAAGGGTTGTGATTTTCTCGAAGGGTTGTGACTTTTCTTATCTATACTACCTTAAAAGCATGAACTCCCAAACTTGAATGTTGAATTACTATAATACCCCCAATTAAAAACACTCAATTTATTTTATTTAATAATTTTATTATATTTAAAGTAGATACCTTTTCAAATTAAAGGATTGTGACATTTTCATTGAGTTGTAACTTTTTCAAAGGGTTGTGACTTTTTTCACGGGTTGTGACTTTTTCAATGAGTTGTGACTTTTCCGAAGGGTTGTGATTTTCTCGAAGGGTTGTGACTTTTCTAAAGGGTTGTGCCTTTTATGATGAGTTGTACCTTTTTCAAAGGGTTGTGACTTTTCCGATAAGCAGTGACTTTTTCGAAAGGTTGTGACTTTTCGGATAAGACACAATTAACACCTATTCATACTACTATTTGGTAGCTATAAATAGAGGAGTTTCCTCACAGTTTTAAACTACATTTTCTTTAAGTTCTCTACTCTTCTTCTTCTTAAAAAATCTCAAGTGTTATTTGCAAAAATTGATTTAGTTCAAAATTCGAGGTACCTCAGAAGAAAGTGTTGGTGAAAAAATTGTAGCAAATAATTCATCAATTCACACTCATATTTTTTCTTACCATTTTCATGAGTTAACAGTGATGAAAAGTAATGGGAGAGACAATTATATTAAATAGATATGAAAAAAAAGCATATGATTTGGGTAAGATATTGTTTTTTATTTTATATTCTTTTCCCTCAAACGAAGGAGTTTCTTCCTAATTTTTTCTAAAACAATTTGTATCAACGTAGTCCATTGAATTATTTGTTTTGATGTTAAATTCACTATTTCAAAAAATAGATTTTTACTTTTACTTATAATATGATAACATAGCTATGATAATAATTATTTTTAATGGACATCTATGTAAAAATAAATGGAGAAAGTAAAGTGTTGGTTGCAAGAGATTTAAATCAAATGAAACATTAGAGTGAATATAGCATGACCATATATTTTTGTGTTCCTTCTTTATTGGCTATGTATTGTTCCATATAATTTTTCTTTATGTCTCAAGATACACTCCTTACTAGCTATATAAAAATAGATAAGAAAATACTGATTGATCATAAGACATACTTAAATCAAATTAATGATTCTATAAATAATACTTTAAATTTTATTCATCTATTAATTTTTATCATTGAAAAATTTTAAATATTTTTATATCATGATACAACTTCTATAAGATACTAGATATTTTCTATTAGACAACAACTATATTATATGTATGCGGTAGAAAAAGGAAGAAGACTACAATTCCACAAAGATAAGGTAGAAACTTAATGAAATGAAATATTTTTCGCCATAGGTGATAATATTCATATATTAAAATTAAGTTATTCTACTGAAGTATATATAACCATCATTCATGATAACAACAAAGTACACTTTTTTGGTAAAATTACCTCTCTGTATTATTAATTTAGTAATAATATTTTGTAAATGATATGTTACATATAAAGATAAAATATTGAAATACTTATGGTAATTCTAG